GAAAGAAAGAAACTGCCATTGCTTCATCACATAGTCAAACCTGATTGGTTAATCCCAGTCTGACATCACAACACTTGTTGCGTCATTGCTGACTCCATCCAGTTAGGAACCAAGCAGTTGCCACACATTTGGGAGAACAGGACTGTCTTGGATTTCTTTTCCATGGTAGAACTTCGAAAAAGTTACTTTTTTGGATTACAGCTTTCAGAATCCCCATGCTGTCATAGCTGGCTAGGGGAGACTGGGAGTTGTAACCCCAAAATGTAACTTTTCTAAATTCTGGTCCATGGAAAAAAAAATCTCCCAGTTGAAGACCCTTGGATTTGAAGATAAAAGGCTTATACGGGTGGGTGGAAGTCCACATCCCACAGATACCATAGTCAAGAGCTACTAGGGTTCTAAGACACCCATTTCCCCATTAAAAAGGCAGTTTGTGAATTATCTCTGAGCTGTTGAGCAAAGCATCTCTCTTTTTCCTCCCTTAAGCTGCAGCAGTAGCACCAAGACTTCCTAATCCCCTCCCTTTCATGCTATGAACAGCTGCCACCACCCACCTAGCAGAAGGTACCCAGCAATGCCAGGACCTTAGTTGCCGTTGCTTTAGAGCTGATTAGTTATGTGTAATTTTAACAGTGAACAGTTGTGCATTCTTCGTTTGTTTCTCTCTTTTTTTAATGCAAATTATGGTATCTTTCAACATAATTAGCATGGGGAACCGTTAATTGCTGGTTTTGTCCTTCCCCATTTTTATATGTGTATTCAGTTTTTCAGTAATTGTATCTTTCCCTTTCTAACTTTGTATTATGAAATTAAATGGAATCACACTCTCTCTCCATGCGCTTGCAGGTGCTGCTTGGCGTTTCGCTAACGCATGAAACCTCTGTGCACGCTTTGCATCCTTATCAGCGGACACTGGGCAATATGTTTGTGTTTACAGATTAACTTCATGGCCAGAGCACTGCTGGTGACTTAGATGTGCACAAGTTAAATTGCGTAACTCATTGTCAAGTAAGAGGTGCTAATTGTGAGGCCTGCACCCGTTGCACAGTTGGGCACGTGGATCATCATGCACCTTGTTAGTTGGCGACAATTTGCTGCAGTGAGTTACAGAATTTAATTTGCCTATGCACAAATCACCAGCAATGAGTTACAGAATTTAATTTGTATATGCATAAATGATCAACAGGATTTGGGCCACCAGTTGTAGCAAGTAATGATAAAAGATTTCTCTTGTTGCTGTTCGGTCCCCTATTTCTCCTTGTTTGAAGAGGATGGTGTATGTAGATATGTATGAGAAAAGTTCTCAAATCTAGATTAATTTATTCCATGAAACCCGCAAGTCAGGAGGAGACAGCCTGTGGTCCCCCAGATGTTGGACTCCAACTCCCATCAGCTTCAGCCAACTGAGCCGATGGTGCAGGATGATGGGAGTTAAAGGCCAACAGTGACTTCAAAACCACAGATTCCTGCTGAACAGAAGAGCAGATGAGGACTTGAAATATCCCATCACTCCATCTTTGAAAATGTGGGGCTCTCCAGTCCAAAACAGTGGACATAGAAATCAGAGTGTCCAGCTATTGCTTGTGATGCAGGGGCACGGTGGTGTTCCTCCCTGCCCCAGGGGGGGGGAATAGATCTACGCATTTTTTTGCCTATGCTGATGAATACCTCCCATTGGTTCCATAAGGAAAACCTGCTGGTCTAGGTTCTATTTGACTAGAATAAAATAGCTCTCTTCTCTTGACATTGAAAGGAACCTCATAGAGCGCTGTGCTTTTGTACATATTAGGAATACTGCAAAGTTCAGAAGGCTCCTCTTTTGGATTACAAATTCCATAATCCTGATTCTCCTGGCTGGGGTATTCTGGGAGGTCTAGGGCCCAATGGGAACTGTTCCAAGCTCTGAGTCCATGCAACATCTGAGTCCGCATCATAATATTAGCTATTTTGCTAGTTAAACGATTTTTTTTGAAAAAAAAAAAAACCACAACTGTTTGAATAAAATGCAGCATACTGGCCTTGGAATCTGATTGCTCATTTTGAAATTCAGTTTGTCATTGTGCATTTGGGTATCTTTGATCTCAATCAGCTGACGAATCTTCTGAGGCCGAGTCTCTTGAAATGATGGTTCCATTTCTGGAATAGGGTTTTTAACATTGCTGAAAAATTGAAAACTCTGAATCATTAAATGGCATTTCACTTAAATTTTATATAAGTGCGCTGACTTTGGGAAGATTAATGTTTCTCCCTTGATCTCTCTTCTGTGTTTCACAATTCTATTTCTAATTTAATGTTCTATATACAATATATCCATGCACAAAGCTGTGTAGACAACACACCCTACAAACACTAGGGAATATGTAATTGCCCCCTGACATTCATGCCCAAGTAGGGGCACATTGATCAGTGTCCACTCCAGTTTTTTAATGCATGTTTGTGTGTTTCTGGATTTCTGCAGGAAAAATCTTAACCTTACAAATGGGAAAATACAAATAGCTATGACAGGAGGTGGAATGGAGTTTCACAGCAATGTCAACATGATTTTGGGTAGAATTATTTGCCTACGGACAACCCAGAGAATACACAAAAAAGAAAAGAGAGAGAATGCTGGCTGTCACGTCTGCAGTGACATCACCATACTAACAAGAAAAGAGAAACCAAAGTGGGAGGAGAGAAAGACAGATCCTAACGCTGGCTGTCATGTCTGCAGTGACATCACCATACTAACAAGAAAAGAGAAACCAAAGTGGAAGGAAAGACAGATCCTAATATCCTAAGGTTAACCACTCAGAATCCATACAGGCAGGCAAACTTAGTCCGAGTAATGTAATTAAGTTTTTAAGAGAAAAAGAACAACTGAGAGCAGTGATCATTTTGGTGCAGTGGTTAAACTGCAGTACTGCAGTCAAGCCTCTGCTCATGATCTGAGTTTGATCCCTACAAACTCAGGTAGCCTGCTTAAGGTTGACTCAGCTTTCCATACTTCCCAGGTTGGTTAAATGAATACAGTACCTGGCTCATCAGGGGGAGGGGGGAGGCATAGCTGCATAGTTATATTGTAAACCACCCAGAGAGTGGTCTGGCAGTATGGGGCAGTACATAAGTTGAAATAGCAACAAAAGCAACATAAAGCCAAGGAAATATGGCACACAGATGGAAGTCTCTCACTTTGCACTGCAGCTTAAAAGGAAATACAGGAACTGGCTTCTACAGCCAAGTGGCTTCACACAGAGACGCTCAGGGACTGGTGCATGCCGGAGAGACCTTGGCCTTCATTGGGGGGGCCAGGCACCGCCTCCTCTGGCACGGACTCAGTGCCTTTCTCATAAGACATTGGAACTTTTGATTCCTCCCCACCCCCACATTTCACAGCATTGCATAATTTTTATTTGACATCTTCAGCACCACAGATGTTGAATATTTAACATGAGGGATCTGTAGGGATTTTGAGTGACCCTGGACACTTTGACCTGTGTCGTGGTTGATTCAGAAGCACACAAACTAAAAACTTAAGTCTGTAACCCCCTGCAGAAGCAAACAAGCAAACAGCGGTCTGAACGTCTGCTGCAATGGAGCCAGGCTGTTCATCGGGCGGAGTGAGGCACTTGCCTCACAAGGTGGTGGAACATCAGGAACGGTGAATTCATCCTTCCTTGAGCCCACCTGAAACCACCCTGGTCTTGCTTCCTTCCTTTCCACTCCCCTCACTGCGGCACCATTTCCTAGTCCCCTCACTCACTTTTTCCTCCTCTGAAGCTTTCTCTTTCCTCCCCTTCACTTGCCTCAGTTCATGCTACTTTGCCTCCCTCCCTTGCTACTCAGGCTCAGCTGCTGTTCTCCTTCCCCTGGCACTTTCCTCTCTTCATGCCCATTGCCACCCTGCCCTCCCTAAAGCTATGCCAGCTATGTAAAGAGGGCAGGTGTGGCTGCTGTTGATGAGGTGGAGGGGCAGTAGCAAAGGGAGGGCAGGAGTGGCTTCTCCCTCCCTCCTCAGGCAGTGGGAGAGCCTAGGTTGTCCCTATATTGCAGAGGTGAGCCATTGTGGCCCTTCGTGAGCTGATTGTTCCACTCTCCTCCCTTTTGATAGCTGTATGTTTAAGAACAGTGCTGACAGATTTATTCCTTTAAGTCCTCTTAAGGGAATTCCTCCCATATCTCAATTTATAATGCATATCTTTTGATCTTTCTGCCAGCTAATAATTAAACGTGGTTTATTACCAAAGTATCCAGATACCCAATGTCAGATGAAAGCACCTTTATGGCAGGTACTAGAGCTATAAACAATAAAATGCATTCTGTATTCCACATTCTGTTTGGTAGAACTGTTGCTTCTAATAACTCTTGTTCTGGTGCCATTTATTATCCTGGTACAGTAGTTGTTTTCTCCTTCCTGGACTGGATACATGGATGGTCTTAGTTAGCTATTTATTTATTTGATTTGTACTCCACCCATATGGTCTATAAGACCACTCTAGGCAGCTGGGAACATGTTGTGGCATTCGCCCTCGTGCCCCTTTCTTGACCATCAAAACTCAAGAGCACACAAAGGCAAACAATCCCCTCTTTTACACTGCTGCCACCAGGTGATCTCTAAATCACCATTACCTCTGGAAGATAAAGATTCAGGTCCACACTCCAAGTCTTTTAAATAGGACTTTTGTTTATTGATTACAGCAACTGATATTGATTCATGAATATCTTCTTTAAGTATTATTAACAACAACCTATTTGATAATGCACTCCTAACTCTAATAACACCTCAGAATTCCCCAAACTCCACACTTATAACTACTACTCTCTCACTCAGCCCACTTCCCCTCTCTGACTCTTACTCTGCCTCTGATAGCATCTCTCTCAGCTCCGCCTCTCAGCAACATTAATATGCATGAACAATTACATAACAAAAACTGCACCATTGACCTAATAAAGGGGAATGCTACACATGTAATGAAGACGATCCCAGCCAGGAAGAGCCTTGTGACTCTGTGGTTAAACTGCAGTACTGCAGTTAAGTCTCTGTTCATGACCTGAGTTGGATCCCGATGGGCTGGCTTAAGGTGGACTCAGCCTTCCATCCTTCCGAGGTTGGTAAATTCAGTACCCAGCTCATGTGGGGGTGGTGTCAATGTGTAACTTGTATAACCAGATTTTAAACTACCCAGAACGTGCTTGAAGTACCATGGGGTGGTATATAAGCAGCACTTTTTATGTAATGTTGCTGTTTCCAGCTGATCAGGGGTCTTATAAAAATGGCTACAAATGTGCATTGACCCCTCCATCTAGTCTGTGCTAGTTTGAGAGTGCACCAGTCGAGGGGTTCTGGCCAAGGCAACAGCTGGGAACTCTGTTTAATTGTGCACCTTTCTCCTAAGTGACAGAAGATGGTCAGGATCTCACCAGCGAGCGAGCGACTTAAAAGGGCAATAGGCACCATCCTTTTTGATTCCTTCTTAAAAGAGCAATGCACGAAGCCTGCTCTTCCTTCACACTACCTGAAACTTCACCCCATCTTGTATCTCTTTCTTAGGCCTCGGTTCTCCTGTCCATCAGAATAGCAAATAGATTTTCAAGAAAAAGAAAAAGAGTGTGTGTCTGTTGAAAAACCTTCTGGTCCTACCTCTACACTTTCCATCCTTTCTCTCTCCCCAGCTCTGAAATGAGTGGTGTTGTGGCTCCCTCCTGCTGCAGCTATGGATGTGAGGGCACACACAGGGTGTTGTATGAGTGAAGAAACAAACCTCTACATAGGCTTTTACAATGTACTCAAGGATTCTACAGCTAGGAGAAGCAAGGAAGGTCTATTACTAAGGTAATAGCATATGCTCCTTTTCTGTAGCATCTTCCTTAGTTTCTTTTTCTCATTCTTTGTCTGTAAACACATTGCATCTTTCTTTTTATTTAACACTTTAAAACCCCCAATTGCCAGATTGAAGACCAGGGAACTGTGGGAGATGCTGCTCCACCCTATAAGTGCCCCTGGGCTCATTCTTTTGCCCCACAGTTGCTCTGGAAATGCACAAATATTCCCAACTTTTTCTCTCTCTACACATTTGAACAAAATGCACATAGCTAGATAGTGACAGTTACATATTTAGTCAAATCTGGCTCCATTTCAGCACTGGAGAAAATGTAGTTCCCCCAAAGAAAGCAGACATGAGGAAAGTAAGTAAATATTGATCAATAAGGAATAAAAAAAAAGATGCAGAACAGAAAGTCAGTTCCTCAACATTGTAGAGAATGTTTCCTAAAAAGAATGCATGGTCTGGCACTCTCTCTTAGGAAGTGCTGTTCATGCAGCAAGTAAGGCGAAAGCTCAGTAGAAATAATTTACAGATCACCATGGCTTGATCAATTGTGCCCTGCTGTGCCGGCGGTGGTGTACCCATGGCTGACAGCCTTTCTTTTGTCAAAGAACTACTCAGAGTTGGTTGGAACGTTTAAAAGCACAGCTGATTTAATTTATTAACACTGGTTAATAACACCGTGGCCTTGTCGCAGTTGACTGGAGCGCAATGAATTGTTCACTGGGAATCTTTATTCCACGCTCTTTTGTCCTTCGTCCCCAATTTACTGCTTTCCCAGGGAACCCTTATACCTGATTTCACTGAAAAGATTCTCTGTCACCGGCACAGATGCATCTTTAAGCAACGTCTGTAGTGGGGGGGTCTGCCACCTCTGTGTTTCGACAGGTAATGATAAATGTCTCCACTATATTTTGTATGAAGACAAGATGCAGGCAGAAGGCAGTGGAAAAAGTCCCCGATGTGGCCCAGGAGAATTGGATCCAGATCCCTGCTCAGCCATGACACTCATTGAACAACCTACACCTGCTTCTGCTTCTTCTTCTTCTTCTTCTTCTTCTTCTTCTTCTTCTTCTTCTTCTTCTTCTTCTTCTTTTGGCCAAGCTTCAATATTTCGAGGGCAGTTTAAGGACCATGTGAGAGGATCTTCTAAATGTTTTCAAAAAGAGTGAAATAAAATAATTGATAAGGGATTTATAAATCTGTGCAGAACTGCCTGCACTCCATGCTTGAACTCTCTATCCAGGGAACCTAAATTAGGAACTACGAGAAGCTGAATGTGGACACACCTATATAAATAATGGTGACATAATACATTGCACGACTCTTCACCTTCTACTAGTTTACACAGTGTATTATGATTTTGCAAATTGTTGGAAGGGTAAGGTATTCTTCAGAGTGATAAGTCCTGCTCTTAGTCACTGAAAATCGATCTCAGCTGCTGTCCGGGATGTTACCTTTCAGCAGCCTTTGTAGCTGCAGATTGACAGCCATATTCTTACCATCTGTCACAGCGGCCAGACATTTGCATGACAAATACCACAAACTTCCCCAACTTGATGTCCTCCTGATGTATTGGGCTCAATTGTCAATATCTTCAGCAAGCAGTAGAGATGGAGTAGTTGGACCAAATATGGTAGAATTTTGGCTGACATTTGATTGGCTGGAGAGAGGCTATAGAAGGTATGTTGGCCAATCACTTTCCTTGATTTGGGCACACACTGACCCCCAAATTACTTGACTAACATGTGACTTTAAACCCAATTCAAAAACCCTGATACATCTCCCAATTAGGGATAGACAGGAACTGCCGGTTTGGTAGTTTATGCTAGTTCATCCTTTGGATAAACAGATGTGTGATGTTCCCAGCCCTGCCTCCTCTGTCAACCTCATACTCAAATGCAGTGCCTGGAGGAGGCAGGCAGTGCAGCTGGGGTGCTGCCTGTGAGTGGGTGCCCTCCAGAGGAGGTGGGGCTGAAAATGACTAAATACCAGCAGTTTGTGCCTATTTCTACTCTTGAGTTATTTCAATCGTGTAACCATGCCCTGTTAGAGTTGCTATAAGTTGGATCCAACATGATGGCACATACCACATAGTGACGTGTAGTGGGTAGAGTGTCGGACTAGAATTCAGGAACCCTCGGTTCAAATCTGCATTTTGCCATGGATGCCCAACTGTAGTTGGCAATAGCAAATCAATCTTTGATCTGCTCACATACTGGGAAAACTCTATTAGGGTTTTCAATAATTCAGAAGTGGCTTGACAGCAGATAACACCACATACTTACAGTACACAGTGCACGAGCTGCTTAAAGAACTCTTTTTAAACCCTGACTAAGATCCCAAGGACCTGCTCGTCCAAAATGCTTCACAAGTTTTGTCACATCAGCCTTTAGTGGCTTGAAGCAATTATACAATGTAATCAGGCTCTGAAAATAGAAGAAGGAACGCTCAGCTATTAATTTTCATATGGGAAGCCCACTCTGCATTGTCGCTGTCAGCGCTCCCTGAACTGGAGTTATTTTGAATCACAATGGCACAAAAGCCGAAGTCTCTTGGGCAGGTTGTTATATGGAAAAAGGCTGTGCGGCAGAGAGTGCAATTATTTCCCTGGCGTTTATTTTCAAATGATTTATAAATAATTCTCTGTATATATCATGAATGCTTGAAAGACCCTTGTTTTTGCCAAAGAGAGAGAGACAGAGAGCGAGAGAGAGAGAGAGAGAGAGATGGGAAGTGTTGCGTGGCAGACATGCAGATTTTAGGCACTCCAGCATGAAGCGTTGCTAAATGAATTCGCAGACTGAAACTTTGACTCTGAGGCAGTCCTGGCAAAATTTACATTTTATTTGGGAAAACGTACAGGTTTTGCTGCCTGGAAGATTCTGAAAGCAGTAGTCCAACAATAGGGCATCTCATGCCTTTATTCATCACTTATTTTTGTTTTTATGATGTGCTGTCAAGCCACTTCCAGCTTATGGTGGTCCTACTAGGCTTTTGAAGGCATACGAGAGGAGCTCATGTTGGTATACATTGCTCATTATCCTTTCTTTATCCTCACCACAATCCTGTGAGTCAGCTCAGAATGAGAAAGGGCTGGCACCAGATTTCTCTGTGAGTTCATTGCTCAGAAGAGCAAGAATTTGGATCTTCCTAGTCTTGAGCCAACCTCCAACCCCCTGCACTACTCTGGCTCTCACATTGCAAAGAAAGGAGCCAGCTTTGGAGCTGATATGACCTCTTCTTCATGTTGATTGTGAAGTGAAACTTGGGAACTGCTAGCTAACCCCACCCAGCACAGCACAGCAAGGCTTCTTCTCCAGATGAGCAAAGTGCAGGTGTCCGAAGGTGTGTGTTTGTGGGATGAAATGCCCGGAATTCTACTTGCGGAATTCCTGGAGAATTCTGGCAGTTGGAGTTGCAAAAAAATGAATGAGCACACTCCTAACTGGCAAGTGGCTATCTAGGTATCTGCCAGATTTAATGCTACCTACCAGAGCTGGCAACAGAGAAAATCCCATGCAGCCTGAGAAGTCTTCTGGCCTTTTGGTGAGCTGGTTGGTAGCTTCAGATATTTTATCTCTCTTCCATTGTCATCCTTTCTCTGATATTGCTGTGCCCTACAGATGCTGCCCTCCAGTACTCAGAAGTTCAAGTGTATGTATGTAGGCCATTCAACTGATAGAAATCATAGGTACCATGCTGAAGGAGTCCTTCTAAATACACCTGTTTTGGGCTTGTGTATATATATCACGCCTGAAATCCTGTTGCTTAGCACAGTGGTTCTTAACCTTTGTTACTCAAGTGTTTTTGAATTGCAACTCCCAGAAACCCGAGCCAACAGAGCTGATGATGAAGGCTTTTGGGAGTTGCAGTCCAAAAACATCTGAGTAACAAAGGTTAAGAACGAATGGCTTAGCATAGTACGTAGCACTAGAGTAGACTGAAACTGTAAGGATTTGGTGATTCAGTGTCTCTGGAAGTTCCATTTATGCAGACAGGCCTACTATAGTTGCAGCTTACTACACTAAAGTTGCAACTAGAGTAGTCCTGTTTGAAACAATGGAACCTATGGAGGGGTTGACTCATTAAATCCTCACTGATTCAAAAGACCTACTCTAGTGTCACTTACTATGCTAAGCAACAGGATTTTAGCCACTATCTAGGTTGGGCTGGTGGAGTGCAGTGACTTCAGGGCGGAATCAGAAGAGACAGTCCTGTTGCCTTCTGTTTGTGGAGGGAAACATGACAGGGATTCTGGTGTGATCAAGATAGAAACAAAACTCCAAATCAGGCTGTGTAGGTATGCGCAGAAAACAAATCTGTCTCCTCCATGTTTTCTTTCCCTGTACTTTCTTGCCCAGAAAGTAGTGGTTTTCATTTAGTCTTAAGGGTACAGAGGCCCTACTGTTAGGCAGAGTGACGTGATCACCTGACGTGACATGTGCTAGGAAGCAGCATGCTAGGTTCCACCATTCCAACTGGATCCCTTAGGGGGACTATGGGGCAGATGAGAGTCATGTCCCAAGATCCTAATAGGATCAGACTCAGGAGAGAGTGGAGGAGATACCAAGCTCAGGTTCTGCCTCTGAACAAACCAGACATCCTGAAACCAATAAATCTGGACACTGTGGAAGTGGCCAGAACTGATACTTCTCAACCCAGGGGTTCCATGCCTGTGATGACCTTTGCACCTCTTGGACTTGACTCTGACACTGGAATGGGGTGCTCTCATCTAGAAGCTCACAGTATGATAAGTCAATAATGTAAAGCCACCAGTGTACCTTGCAGGAGCTTCTGGAGATGAACAGCTAAGCTTCGGGCTGGAAAGCCATTCCTTTAAGCCCACTTGGTGGGAAGGGGTGGATCTTGCAGAGACTAGTCCTGGGCCAGCAGTAGAAGAGGCCTCTGCTCAGCTACAGTCATCATTAGATCAAGCAAGCTCACCTTTGGAGTTGTACTTTTTGACTACCAAGGAGGCTCTCCAGACCATCTGCAACATGACATAATGATGGATGCCCCCCAGGGTATTTCTTGTCGATTCTAGAACTCATCCTTGTGGACATGCATCTTCTTCTGATGCCTTTGGTGTATCAGAGAACACTCTCCGTTACTGGCATTGCATTGAGTTATGATTAGAGATGGCACGAATTAAAAAACAAATCACCAAATTCATTCAAAAAATCACTAATTCATCAATTTGAATTTGTACTAATCAATGCCCTTGATGAATACGAATCAATGAATTTTTAGTGATTTTTGATTTTTCAATTTGTTTGGCTGTAAAAGCCCACTCAGGCACCCAGAGACACCAGAATTTCAGGGCAGCTTCCTCTGACTCTTCTCTACAGTTACTCCATGATTGGTGAATATTGGGTTTCAGAGTTATACATCTACAAAGACACCCCCCCCAAGGAAAGTCCCCCTCTGGCACCCAGAGACACCAAAATTACAGAAAAACTTCTACTGACTTTCCTTTACAATCTCTCCAAGTTTGGTGAATATTGGGTTTCCTCAAGCCAGCTGCTAAAGGGCAGTTTCCTGGGCGGTGTGTGGAATACATTTTGTGGATTTATAACTTGGAAGTCTGAAACCCAGTCTTCACCAAACTTGCAGAGCTTGTAGAGGAGAGTCCGGGGAAGCTTCCCTATGGTATCTCTAGGCGCTTGGGGGGCATTTTATAGGGCTTTGAAATAAAAAAACAAATTGACAAATTAATTCATTAATTTACCAGAAAAAATCATAAATTTGTAATTCGTGATTCATCAACCTTGATGAATTACGAATGAAAATGAATCACCGTTTTTCTGAATCATCCCCATCTCTAGTTACGACGCCATTTCAAATGGTTTCTATGTAGGGAATGCAGATGGGGTGCTCTTCTGTCCTTTGCCCCATGAACCAAAATGTCTTTGCCTATTCCTGATTTTAATGGGGAAAGACTACTGCAAAGAGGGAAAAATATACTCTCAAACCTTGCAACAGAAATCATCCTTCTCCATTTGCCCATCATGGTGACAAACATTTGTCTCTCGTATTTTTTTTGTTAAATCTTGCCTGCTATTCAATATTGCTTTACAATATGCACACAATGGCACCTAAAAGAACAACATCAAAAATGTTTTGTTTCTCTTTCTTATAAGCATTGTACTGAAATGACTTTGTTCATTTGTGTTTCAGAGTTTGCATCCATGGTCCTAAGAAGCTGTTGAATCCTTTTATGTCCCACTGTGGCTTACACCCTTATTCCCCCCCTCACCATCTTGCATACCTATCGGCATGCGACGCCCTTTCTGCTCCACCAATCCTCTTTTATGGAGTTAATTCCTGGGAAAGCAAAAAGAGAAATGAAAGTAAATCCAGCAAATATATTTCAGGGACTGAAAGTGAGATAATAATAATAAAAAAAGAGAGAAATGGATTATGCTTGTTTTATCCGTGAATCATTGCGTGAAACAATTTTGCTCTGGCTACCATGTAGGTTCCCTTGAATGCTTCTGATCCTTCAAGTCATATTTCATTACATTTGACTCTTGTGCTTTTGGTTAAATCTAAGGGTGTGACTATATTGTCTAAATAACTTGAGAGTTGTGCCAGGGTCTTATTGTATCAATTCATGCCATGTGCTCTTTGTGTCATTGTTCCTGGGTGGAAACTTTCTGTTATTTGAAATGGAAAAAAGACAGTGGAAATTGCAAATCAGAGATCTAGGCTGGATGCTACTTGAGGTGTACAAAAAAAATAATATGGGAGAAAGTGAGGGTGTCAAACTCCCCCATCACTAATCACCTGAGCCCAGGGGCGGCTCATAGACTGGGACAGGGAGAATGCTTCGCCCTGAGATTCCAGTCATGAGCTGCCTTTGCCTGACTCTGATCTTTTAAAACCAAGATAGAGAGCTTTGGCTTTCCGGATTCTCAAGATACCCAAACAACATGCGCAACAACAAGGCATAATGGGAGTTGTTGTCCAAAGCTTCTAGAGAGCCAAAAGTTCCTCGTTCCTGCTTTGGGTGGACTTTGAGCCCATATAGGACAAGCTGAACACCACTCAGCATTAGTAGATGACCCAGCAGCCAATATGAGCTCCATACTTCCAGCCTAATGCTTCTAAACTCCCGGAAATCCTGGCCAGCAGAGCTAGTGGTGAAAGCTTCTGGGAGTTACAGTCCAAAAACCTCTGGGAATCCAAGGTGGGGAACCATGGGTCTAGACTTAGTCTGGTTGTCCTCATTGAGTCTATTACTTACTGTGTCTGGCAACATTTTCTTGACTACTAACATGACCCAAATGATCTTCTTTTAGAACACCTACGTTTGAATTCTTTTTTGGTTTTTAAATTGCTTCATACAAGGGTTCTTCTATCTTACTGGGTTTTCATTGCCTTCTGGGTACATTGTCTCAGACCTCTGTTGGAACAACATTATGAACCTAGAACATTTTCACCTGACAGCGCCATCTTTCCAAAGACTGTTGGAATATTTTGGACCTGTTCATTACCATGAGAAATTATTCTTTAATTTTTTTAGCTTACAGAAAAGAGGAGGTAAGAGTAACCAAGAAGATTCCCATAATCTTTTACTCCTTAATGTTGTTTGATTTTAGAAGGTCATCTTATTTTGTTGTAAAAGTCTGCTGTTCATTGGTTTTGTTCTAAGTTTCATTCCTTCAGAATTGCTGCATTTTCAAAAGTTAAGCACACATTGAATGAGGGCCGGCCCTTTCGTTAGGCAGGCAGGGCCTCTGGCGGCAGACTGCCAGGAGTAGCACTTAGGCCCTGTCCACTCGGAAGGCTGTGGCTGCAACACAGCTGATTTCATGGGTCACTTCCTAAGCAAGGTCTGGCCTTGGGGAGGCCTCAGAGCAGAATTTAGCAAAAAGGTAGCTCTGCAGAGAATGGCATCCTTTGTGCTCCTCTGCAGAAAACCCACCTGCAAGTGGGAGGGAGGGAGGAAGGCCTGCCTTGAGGGAAGCTGAAGCAGTGCAATGAAAATGGGTTCCTGTTTGTTTCCATCTCAGGAGAACTGAGCTCCCCTTGTATTGAGCAGAGGGTTTATTGACTTGAAGTCAATATAATGGGGTATGACTGGAAAACATCATCCAGAAATAATGAGAAGGGAGCAAAAAGGAACTTACATCATCCCTCCCCATTATATAAACTGCATAAAGTATGGCTGGACTGTAGAGTGTGACAGCATCTCTTGTTGCTGAGGAGCTGACGCAAATGGCTCAAACCGATATTTGGGGACCTGGGGAAGGTACTTCCATTTACTGGATGTTCAGGGCAGTTGTCTTCAAATTCATTGTTACACACTGCAGTCTCATTATTTTGCATGCAGCTCTGGTTAAGTTCGGCAGCTGTATCTCTAGTAGAATGCAGTTCGGGGATCTCAATGCTTGAAACTATGACACGTTACCTGAAGGCATGTTTGCCTGAGCGCAACAGGCTCATTCCTAATTAATGGTGCATCAGCTTGCAGCCTTTAGTTACAGAATTTAGTTTTACTCGGGTATTGCTTTCAGACAAGGTATCCAGATGTTCTCAAAGTGTTCAGAAATTGGAACTGAGAGAATTCAAACATCATGTGATGGTACCGGTGAGTATTCTTCTTGTCCTTTTATTTGAACTCCTGTTTATGGGGTGTTTGCTTTGAGCAAAAAGTTACAGGTATTGGGGATGATGACTTACTGTGTCATCACGTGGGCTGCTGTACCTGCAGAGTAAGAAACACAACTGGATAGGAGCAATGTTAATTTATGGCTCTTAAGCCTTTGAAAATTGGCAAAGGAAACCATTGTCTTTGTTAAGACTTAGAGGGTGTATGCAGAACGTCATGATATATTTCTGCTCAGCCCAAGTGTGTTTGGGCCCACAAAAGCTAATGAAAAATAAAAACTAGACTTCTGGTTTCTTTTTTGCTATAACAGACGTAACACAGCTACCAGCTAGCTTAAGTTAATGCTTAAACCTCTGATGGTATGGAATGGAACCCTTATAAGCAACACAAGCTTCAGGCCACTAGATGGGCAGGGTACAAGTCGAATGAATGAATGAATGAATGAATGAATGAATGAATGAATGAATGAATGAATGAATGAATGGTAACCTAACCATCGGGGCCTTCATCACCCAGTCAGATCTGTCTGTTAAAGATCTTTTTCAGCCTATTATTGTCCTCCCCCTCAACACACTCTCCCTGACAAAAGTTTCAAACTTTCCCCAGAGACAAGATGACTCCATTCACCAGAAGAAGTATGCTTGAACACACAAAAGCTTATGAAAAGTAAAACCCATTCAGGCTTAAAGGTGTCCCAAGAGTGCTGGTTATAACATTAATTGACACTGTGCTTTTTTTTTCTGGAGAAAAAGTCAGTAGAACTCTTGGATTACATTTCCTCAAGGATAGATGATGATTATAAAATAGGGGACAAACACTAGAAGACTGGGCTTTTGGTCCACAAGGGCTAACTAAATCCAGGCCTTAAAGAAAGGTTGCAGACCAGGCAGCATAATAATAAACATGTCTTATTTAAAACATTAAAAAAAGGTGTTCTGACATGTAAATAAGAGAAGAAAAGGTGCTGGAACCATCCACCAGGAAAAATCACCTTGAATTTTTTCAAAAATTATGCTGATACATAGCAATTGCTTAGTGGATGAACAAATTGTATGATTGACGTCAAAGGTATTCCCCTTGCCAAAGATCATAGAATCACAGAATAATGGAGTTGGAATGGGCCTACAATGTTGTTGGGCCCAACCTCCTGCTCAATGCAGGAATCCAAATCAAAGTATATCTGACAGATGCTTGTCCAATTTCCTCTTGCATGCCTCCACTGTTGCAGTGATTACCATCTCTTGAAGCAATTGGTTTCATTGTTGTGCTGCTCTAATAGTAAGCTTTTCACCCCTGATATTCAACCAGAATCTGGCTTCTTGTAACTTGAGCCCATTATTACATGTCTTGATCCTGCCCTTCCTCTGAATGAGAGCCTTTCAAGCATTTGAGGAGTGCTATCCTTTCTCTTCTTGGTCTTCTTTTCTCAAGGATAAACGTGCCCAGTTCTTTCACTCTTTCCTCCCAGGGCTTGGCTTCCAGTCCCCTGATCATCCTTGCCCTCCTCTGAACTTGCTCCAGTTTGTTGGCATCCTTCTTAAAGTGTGATGTCAAGAACTGGACACAATACTCAAGGTGAGGCCTAACCAGTGCTGAGGAAGTAGCACTTTGCGAGATTTGTAGGTGTCGTAAATAAACAGCAATTTGGGAAGTCTTTGCTGGTCTTTGGAACCAATGTCTGCAACCATTCTTTTCCCTGCAGAAGGGCAGTCTTACGCCCTCTTTTAGGCAGCTAACGGTCTTGAGGCAACGGGAGATATGATCTGGCTTTAGGCCATGCAGTGATTGACATAACATATTGTATGGGAAGCGCTGCTGTAGTTTACAAGACACAGAATTTCTAAGGAAATACTCAGCGGGAGTAATTAGAAGAATGGTTGTTTTACTATGCTCTTTCTTTCACTGTGGGATGTTTTTGGTCTCTACCCAATGAATGGAAAGCACGGAAAACATTTTACTGCTATGTTTGGTTTCTATATTTACCAATCTATCTTTATGCACTAGCCCTTGCTTTGGGACACTCCAGGCCCTGGCAGAGCTGAAAATGGAAGCACTCCTCATTAGATTTATTATTAAGCTGCCTGATATGTATTTCACCAGTCTGTTGTTACCCTCTTGGTTACAATTTTCCACTTCACCTACTCCATTTTCTTTAAAAAAGGGAGTAATGTCAAAATTACAATAGAGATGGTATGCCATTAGAAAAGAGAGTTCGTTAAATGCTGAAATAGGTCTGGTTGTCCCAGCGCAGCATTTTCACAACCTCTATAGTCTTCAGATTAGGTTGCTTTGTTTTGTGATTGGTCACTGAGAGATGAACATGGACTTTGTCTTCAAGAATCACATCTTTGGAACACCATTGGATTTTAGCTTATAGTGGTTTTCTATCTGTAATGTATACTTTGATTTTAAGAGGGGATGAAATTACAGAACAAGACAGTGATTTTATTCAAGTCACTTGACAATGTATCTTCTTTTCCCTTTGATTCCACCATTCATGCTTGTCTGCCAGCTGAGCAGATATCAAACTGGGGTGGGTGGACAGGATGAAGAGTGGGTGGACAGGAGCCAGGATGACTTCCATTGGCTGACGTTGTGTTGCCAATAAATCAGGATCTGATGAGTTAATTCCTTTGTTAAGTTCCATTTGATTAATGGTTGTGACTTACTTGACTCTATCAAGCAACTAGACCAGGCCCTTTGAAACATGACCCAACCTCCAAGGAAGCTGCTGACCAATACTGAGATGGTCAGCCCTAGATGCAGAAAATGG